AAGCATTTTCCACTCAGTGTCCGAGATCGCAAGACCACAGAATTTCAGATGTTGGCACAGGGTAGCAAAACAGTGGCAGAGTATGATCGTGCGTTCACCGAGTTGGCAAGGTATGCACCTCACATGGTCGACAACGAATACAGAAAAACTAGGAAGTTTGAGAGTGGACTTCGAGGGCCGATACAAGATCAAGTTAATTTGCTCAACATGCTGACGTATGCTGGAGTGTTAGATAAAGCCATCCTTGCTGAAGCTAACCTGAACAGAAGTCAAAGTTCGGGGAAGAATCAGAGGAAGAGGCAGACCTACGACAATCGCGAAGAAGAGGCAGACCCGAATGATGCCGAGGAGAAGACAGAGGAGGATAGTCCCAACAACGCGAATCAGGAAGGTGGCACCAGGCCGACATGTGGGAGTTGCGGGAAGCTACATTTTGGGATTTGTCTTCGGGCAACTGGAGCTTGTTTCGGATGCGGCGAGAGAGGTCATCGCATTAAAGATTGTCCCAAGGTAAAAGCTAGAGATGATCAGAAGAGATGAGAACTCGACATCCGGAGCCGTTTTGGGAACAAGGTAAGCGAAGTTTGGGGACCAAACTTCTTTAAAGGGGGAAGGATGTAACAACCCGTATTCATGTCTTAGTCATGTTCATGATCATTTGTATGATTACGACTCGTTAAGCTTGCATTTGTATGTTTTTGACTTATTTTGCCTAAGTAAGGTCCATGCCTTGTTTTGTGTTCATGTGATTTGCTTAAGTGTTGTGTGCATGCTTTGCTCATTCCTTGATGTTAAGCCGAGGACATGCCAAGCCTAAGTTATATTAAGCCTAGGTCATGCCAAGCCTAGGTTATGTTAAGCCTAGATCATTCCAAGCCGAGGTCACCTTCAGCATAGAAATTGCCTTGGAACCCCTTTGTTTGACCTCCACCTTCGCCTTGACATATTGGCCGAGATGTCATTATCTAGGCCGAGGTGTGGATCACCAAGGCCGAGATGTGTATTATCTAGGCCAAGATGTTACCTTTGCACCTAAGCGATCTTGTCCTGGAGTGGTATGACCTAGACCGAGGTGTGGCACATCTAGGCCAAGGTATGACACAGCTTAGTCAAGTGTTGTCCTTCCTAGCCGAGGTCATTGTCACCTTAGTTGCCGAAGCTTTGTCCTTAGCCGATGTCACCCCTTGCCGGAGTGCCTTACCGAGTAGCTTGTTAGATACGCTTTGTCATAGTCTTGTCTTGTCAATCTATCATCTTTTTTAGGAGAACCAACCAGCCGTTGCCACGTGTCCGAGCTGAGTGTTAAGTCAGCCGGCAGAGAGAGAAACCTATCATTTGTTGTATCTTTGTTTTGAAGAGGAGAGAGAAGCTTTAAGAGAGGACGAAGAGTTCTTGAGGGAGAGTGGATTTCTAAGCTTGATTCCTAGAGATCAAACCGTTAGATCCGTGTTCTAAGGTTAGATTCTTGATCTGCTCTTGTCGTTCTTTATGTTTATGTTATTGCATTGCATGATTGAATATGATTTGTAAGCCATGCATTGCTTTGAAGTTCGGTTTTAGAAAGAGGAAATAGCATTCATGTGTTCTTCAAGAAAAGTCATGTTTTGATCCGAAACCTCATGCCAAGATCCATGTTTTTGTATTTGTTTTCACATGATTTTCAAGTATGGGTACCCAGGTCCATGTTTTCGAACTCATAGCATGAAATCCCAGATTTTGTAAATAAAGAAGTTATGATTTTGACATCCATGTTCTTCATGATCTTCATGTTCATGTTCTTCCTGTTCTTCACGGGTGGAAACCTAGATCTCCAGAACTCACTTCCCGAGGTTTAGTCGCCGAGATCACTCTCGCCTAGACCTCACACTTAGGCCAAGCATCGTATCTCACCTTGGCCTACCTTGCATGATCATTTACACCTTTAGTCGTCTTGAGCGCACCATGGCATGCAGCCGCACGCCGAAGCCTAGGTAGCCACACCTCGGCCAGGAGGTGTGGGACCTCGGCAATGACCTGGTTGGTACCCAGCATGTCTTCCTGACATGTAAAACAGTGTTTTGACTTCCAGCATGTTTTTCCGAGATCTTTGCATGCACGTGAGACCTGTTTTGAGAAGTATGCTCAGTATATTTGCCATGTGTTTGTAGGACTTGGACCTTGCCTTGATCCCGACGTCCCAAGAATTAATGTGAGTGGTATTTTTAATGAAGTTATGTTATAAAGATTTGATAAAGCCTTGTTTCGTTTTGATAAAAGTATTTGATCAAGCATAAATGATTACCCCTATTTTTATGTATCAAGTATAAGTTTTGCGTATCAAGTATAAGTTTTGTTTTGATGACATTTTCGGAAAGTCCCTTGTGCTGGAGGACTCTAAACTTTCGCAGCACATCTTGTTTTGAAAGTCCCTTGTGCTGGAGGACTCTAAACTTTCGCAGCACCCTTGATTTGTACTCTAGTGTTAAAGGGCTACGGGCCTTTGTAACATAGGTCCCTTGTGCTGGAGGATTCTAAACTTTCGCAACACATCTTGTTTTGAAAGTCTCTTGTGCTAGAGGACTCTAAACTCTCGCAGCACATCTTGTTTTGAGGGTCCTTTCGTGCTAGGGGACCTTAAGCCTAAGTAGCACCGTCCTTTCGTGCTAGAGGATGTTAAACCTAAGTAGCACCCTTGTTAAGATATCGGCCACTGATGGACTATGAACAGGTGTGCTCGATGCCGAGGTTATGCTTTTGATTTGAAAGGCCGAGGTTATGCCGAGGTTATGTTTTAAGATTTGACATATGTTAAGTAAGTAAGTAAGTTCTGAAAGACCAAGTTTCAAATGACGTTTTATTTCAAGCCAAGCTAAGCTATGTTATGTACGGTTTTGACAAGGATATAATATGTATTGTTTTGTAAAGATCTCGGGTATCATTCATTTAACCCCTTTATTAATACCATTCACTGAGTATCCAAGCTCACCCTCCCTATGTATATATGTAGGTAACAAGCAAGAAGTCGGCTACGCCGAGATGTGTGTGTGTTTTGCATGTATGTTATGTCGGCAGTGAGGATGTTGGCAAACTGGAAGATTATGTTTCATGATTTGTGGCTCAAGTGTTTTTGTTTATGTCGGCAATCTTGAAGTTTATGTAATTTGAACATGTCGGCTCGAGAAGCCTTTATCAAGATGTAATATGTATTTTTGTACCTCATTTTATTTGTATTCAAGTTTTAAAGCTATGTAAAGATGTATGCCATTCCATTTGACTTATGCACTGCTCTTATGGACCACTTGTATTTTAAATTATTGCTTCCGCACTTGTGAGCCCCATACATTTATACTCTGATTGTGTGTGAATTTTGAAAGTTGGCCTTCGGTAATCTCGGATTACTGGCCATCACGGCACCAAACTACTAGGGGAGGTTTGGGGTCGTGACACACTTGGTCCCTCCTCTCGGTGGATTTTTGGCGCTGGCGTTGGCATCGGCGCCGGCACCGACACCCCAGCAACACCATCCTTACCCCTCCTCTAGCTACGACTCGCAACAGGAGACGTAGGGCGCGGTCTGGTCTTTTAAACACCCACACGCAGCCATGGCCCATATTTAAAACACAAATTTTAGTAAGTTTTATAATAAATTAATGCAATCACATTTCGCAAAATCACATAAGTTTAAAAACTGCAAGGTATGGAAATAGATTTTAAAAAAAGACACTAGTGTGATAAAAGAAAGAGTAATATTACAATGATTATATTTGTTCTATTACACTCTATGTTTCATTTTATGTGACATACATATTAATTGAATATTAATGACACCTGTGTGCGCTACATTAGATGATTAGTAAAATAGTTCTTTTATGTGAAAAGTTTGTATTTAATTCTGTGATTAATTTTTATATTTTTATATTTTTCTAAATAAAATACGGTAAAAAAAAAGTGTATTTTAACATTATGGCGACTTTCATATTGTTACCCACTTCATGCAACATTCCCAATTTACTGGGGCAGAAAATTGATGAAATTATTGTGTTTGCCATACTATGTGTGAACCAGAAAAGTCTCACATTAAATAATTAAAAGTAAATTACAAAAGAAAGGTCTTTATATATTATATGTTAAATGAATTCACTACTTACAATAAAAAAATAAAAAATAAAGGTAAAGTTGGATAAGGCAAACTCATATTCGAATTGAAGGATTTCAACTTGTTATATGTAAGTTTAAATGAGGTTAAGAGGAAACAAGAAGTAAAGCAATTGAGATTGTTTTGCATTATATTTCTGTATAGATTTGAAATTTGGGTTAAAATGGAAAGAGAAAATTTATTCGTACACAATGATATAGCAAAGATATATTTGTAATTTACTTACATCGTGATGAATTTTTTTGGTTATGGTTTAATTTGTTGTTTAGTTTCGTTTGACATATAGTTTTTGGGCTAAAATAGTCACAAAAGATAAAATATATTAAAAAATCAATAAGATAAAATATTACATTTAAACCATAAAGGCATTTTTACTATCTCGCCAAAATCACTGTGTAAATTTTATCCAAAAAATAAAAATTATAATATAAAAGTGAATGGGCTAAAGGAAGAAATAAAAAGGGAACAAGATAAAAAAAAAAAATCCTCTACAAAAATAATTGCAAAACCAATCCTAAGGCTGTGTTTTGTTTATGAATTTAGAAAAAGATTTGGAAATGAAAAGAAAAAATATATATAAAATATAATTATATTTCATTAATATTTCACTTATGTTTTTCCTTTCCTTTCTTTTATAAATGCCTCACTAAAAATCTATAAACCAAACAAATCCTAAATCTAAATGTCCTGGGCTGAACCCAAATCCAAAACTGAGAATGTTTTGGATTGGGCCCATAATTGCCAAAATTGGGCCATAAAAAGACCAACCCCCCAAACAAATAGCCCATCAACCCAAAATTCACTAGTCCAAGGACAAATCAGTAATTTCCCAGTCTCCATCTGCAAAACCCTAATTTTATATCAACCCTAAAACCCACTCTTCCACTCCTCTGAACGCCGCACCCAACCCTACTCTCTCTCCTATCTCTCTCCAGAACCGCCGCCGCCGCCGCGTCGCCGGAAAATGCCGCCGAAGTTCGACCCATCACAGGTTGTCGACGTCTACGTCCGGGTAACCGGCGGCGAAGTCGGCGCAGCTAGTTCACTCGCCCCCAAAATCGGCCCTTTAGGTCTCTCCCCCAAGAAAATCGGCGAAGACATCGCCAAAGAGACCGCGAAGGATTGGAAGGGCCTCCGAGTCACCGTGAAGCTCACCGTCCAGAACCGCCAGGCCAAAGTCTCCGTCGTCCCCTCCGCCGCCGCGCTCGTCATCAAGGCCCTGAAAGAGCCTGAGCGCGATCGCAAGAAGACGAAGAACATCAAGCACACTGGAAACATCTCTCTCGATGATGTTATCGAGATCGCCAAGGTCATGAAGCCGAGATCGATGGCTAAAGATCTCAGTGGTACTGTGAAGGAGATTTTGGGTACGTGTGTTTCTGTTGGGTGTACGGTTGATGGGAAGAGCCCTAAGGATCTGCAGCAGGAGATCGATGATGGAGATGTTGAGATTCCCCTGGATTGATTTGGTTAGGTTTCTTTTTAGGGTTTGTTCCAAGATTCTGTTTTTTTTTTTTTTGGAATTTGAAATTGTGGGTTTGAGTTTTTATGTCTCCGATTTTTGATGATTTGAGCTTGAATTTTTTCATTTGAGGAGATGTAAATTTTATGTTTAGGGTTTTTGGACGTGATGATAATTCGGATCATAAATTTGATAAAATCTGATGATTAAATTTGGTGCAAATGAATCTTTAGTTTTCATTACAAGGGTCATTCGACATTGAATTGTTATGGGTTTTTGCTAAATGTGATTTTGCATGGTGAAATTAGATTGTTGCCAAGTTAAGCTTAATTATGGTGAAGTGGTTCAGATTGTGTTCATTACTATTACTATTACTGATACTGGTTTTGTTTTGGATTTTTTTGGGACTAAACTGAATATTGATTTCTAACTTCAGGGATATGCAATGAATTCATTTCCAATTTGTTTGCACTTACATAGCAAGGTTATGCAAATCATTGTCTTTGAACTATTGTGAAGCTCAATTTGGAAGTGTATGTATAAATCCGAAACTGTTCTCACTTTAGTCTTGTAGTTGGATTTGATCCATAAATGTTCAATGTTTGGGACAACCTAAAAATGGCTCAAAACAATTAGCTTCAGGGTCGGGATTTGCTCCTAAAAGGTTCAATGTTAGGGAGAACCTAAAAATGGCTCAAACCTCTTGCGGCCACTCAATTTGCCTCTATTTCATTTCCATTAATTGTGGCATTAATGCCACTCTCACTACCATCCTTTTCGTTGGCATTTTCATTACCATCCATTTTCTCATTGGCCATGTGCAATTTTACCCTTTCTTCCCCTTAATCCCAACTATATAAAGGGCCTCTACATTCATAGACCTCTCAATCCATCACACAATCTCTATTCAAGAACAAAAGCATAGCCCTTTGGAATTACACAAAGTAGCTTCACCTTCCATCTCTCTTTCTTCTGTTTCTGCAGGAGGAGGAAGAGAGACAATCTGGCCCTTCACAGATTTGATCCTGCAGATTCTTCGAGTTGTTCATATTTTTCACTGCATCATAATTAGTCCAAAGAAACTTCTTGTTGTCACGCTAAGCTACAATGGCTAACAAGATGATTAGGAGCTTAAATCCTTGGATGGAGGTTGCTCCATCGCTCATTGTCTACCCTCATAAGCCTTCTAATTCTCCAGAACTGGAGACTATCGATGAAGAAAGGCATGAGGAACATGATGAAGATTCATGATTTTGGAATCTTCCTTGCTTTTTCTCTATATCTTGTGTTTAGATTTGTATAGAAAATTGCATGAGAGGAAAATTATGTCCGAATGGAGTCGTGGGCATGCCTTCATGCAAGTATGCACTATTATTGTGCATGTGTAGCATTTTTTTAATGTAAATAAATTTTTTTTGTTATTATTATATTGTATTTTTGGTGCTAACTCCTTGGTGGTGTAGTTCATGATATGCATATCAAATTTTCAGTTATTTGGGAAAAAGTTTTATGGGCTTGTCTACAATAGCAGTACAAAGTTGAACTAGCTCTAGTTTGAGAATTAACTATTTTAGTAATTTTTTGATTTTTTAATTAAAATATGAAATAAGAAGACTAGTATGTTTAGAATGAATTTTTGATTTTTTATGAAAAAATATGCAAAAAGTAAAGAAAAAAAGAGAAATTTTGGTTGTGTTTGGTTATGTTTTGAAATCATGATTCAGCAACATCACTCACGTATGATGTTTGGTAGGTGTTTTGTAATTACCTTTCGAAAACTATGTAGAGCACTTTGTCTCAGTCGCTGTTTTCAGGATTTTTTTTTTTTGAAAATTTTGCCTGACGGGTCGTCCGGCCGGTTGACCGGAATAGTGATTTTTTTTTTGTATGTTAATTTTTATATAATTGAAAAAAATATTTTCTGAATTTTTTATGTGCTTTAAAATAATTTTGAGTTGTATGTTTAGTTATGAGTTGTAAATTTTCGTATCAAATATCAAATGTCACATCAACAATTCTCCACTCAAATCAAAACTCTTTTCAAAATTATTTTCAAAACTCTTTATCAAATAAATTTTCTACACTCAAATCATAATTTCAAACCTCACAAACTCAAAATACAATTCATACTCTCAAATCATAATTACAAAATACAACCAAACGCAACTTTTAACTTTTTGATATCAATTATAAGTTTTTTTAATAATTTTTTAATTTTTAGATTGAAAGTGTTGCAAGCCAAAAACGAGGCTTTTGTACCAAATATTAGAATTTAAATCAAGGCTATTTAATTCGTTGGGACCAATAGTCTGTGGAAGGAAATAATTTCGGAGAACTTGTGAAAAATAATTTATTTTTGATCTCCATGGTTTAACAACCAATATCTCTTTGGCTAAGCCTACATAAACATATTAACATGGGTAAATTATATTTTGCCAATTTTATGTTTGGTCATTTTGTCATTTTGGTCTTTTATGTTTTAAGTTTTCTAATTTACTCTTAAAGTTAATTTCGGTTCAAAATTAGACATAAAATATCGTAATAATTGTTACATAACATAAAATTATATGTTATTATATTAATGTTTAAGTTTATGTCAAAGATGTGAGTTATATATAATAAAACAGTAATGCTATACAAACAAAATTTTTAGACAAAAAATTCATACAGAATGATATGTCTTATTAATAACCATTCATTAGAAGTCTAAATGCGTATTACTTTGGTTTATAATTGCAAGAATACTATTGTTATATCATTTTTGTCAAGTTTTATGTATGAATTTTATGTAAGATTAACATTTTTCATAATAAAATATTTTTATGTGATATGACTGTTAATGTGTCATTTTTTATCTAATTTTTAATAAAATTAACTTTAGAAGTATACTAAGAAAAATTTGAAATATGAAAGGTTAAAATGAGAAAAAATAAGCATTAATAACTAAAGTGAGATGTAGTCAAGTATAAAATGAACAAAGTGTAATTTATCTAATTCACATATCCAATGTTTCTTTGGGTGCACCATTTTGATGGTTTTTAGAAGGAAAATTTCATACAAAAAATATTAGAAAAATAACTGTGTCTTGTAAATAAAAGTCATCTTCACGGTATTTTGTTTATAAGTAAAATGTCATACTTATTTGTACGAAAGTTTTGTTTATATATCAACAAAATGTAAGGACGACAAAGGTTTGTACCAAAGATTTTTAGCTTGGATTTTGAGTAGTTTTTGTAAATTTTGCTGAGATGTAGAAACTACAAAAATGTTACCAAAATAGAAAAAATAAAAACACACTTTTAAATTTATTTATCTACGTTACAAATTTAAATTCTTTAATTTTTTTTATATGTATAATATTATCTATGTTTTAAAACCTTTTTGTCCCAATTCGTTTGAAGTTATTAGATGATGCATGAATTTCTCAGTACAATAATTTGGCGGCATAGTTCAACGACATTAAATAACTTGTGAGGAAATTTTAATATACACACTCTTAAAAGCGGTATATCATATACAGGAGTCTTTCGAGAAGCTAATAAAAAGTTAATTTTTAACTTTTTATTCATTTTTGGTCACATCCACAAAAAGACAAAATAAGCTAAAAAAACTAAAACAACCCCGCTACGTAGCTCGAAATTCGGTGGCCCGAATTTGGCTCGACACCAAAAAGACGTCGTTTTGGTGTCTTTTTTTTTCGCGTTTTTCTAAACTGAAGAAGAAGAAGAAAGCTGAAGAAGAAGAAGAGAAGGAGCAACCCAGATGATGGTGTTCAAGCAATTTGTTCTTGATGATGTTCCAGAGAAACCCAGATTAAACATCATCACAAAAATTTGTTCATGAAAAAATTTGTTGACGAATTTTTTTAGAAAAAATTCGTTCCATAATCAACACAAAAATTTGTTCAGAAAAACCCAAATCAAAAATAGCTTTTTCTTTATCAAACCCACTGAAAAACTTGTAAATATGATGAAGATTAGGCACTTGCTAATTTTATGATAAAATCTTCTTTCCCATATTGCAGAGTGCTGCTACAAGTTTTTCAAACCCACTGAAGCTTATTTCCAAGAAAGAAGAAACAAGTTTTTCAAACCCAAAATCATCAAAACAGATATTAAAATAGATTCATATATTAAAATTTACAGAAAACATATTCAGATATACAACATCAACATCATCAAAACAGATTTAGATATACAACATCAACAATTTTTTTTGTTTTTTTCAGATCCAGAACAAGTATAAAATAAATAAATATACAAAAAACAGATTCAGATCTAGAACTAAAAAAAAAAAAATACTCATCATCTCCAAATCAATATCATCATCTTCTTCAGATCAACATCATCATCTTCAGATCGGTAATGGCAGTCGCCGGTGATGGCGAACGCCTCTGATGGCGGTGATGGCACCGATGATGACTCACCGATGATGGCTCTTCCTCTTCTTTTCTTCTCATCTCTTCCTCTTCTTTCTCTCTTCCTCTTTTCTCCTCTCTCTCTATCTCTTTTCTGATTCAAAAACAAGAAAAAGAAAAAGAAAAAGAAAGAAAGAATGAAAAAAAAAAAGTAGTTGTTTTGTCTATTCGAGCCACTATTTGAGCCACATTTCTCGAGCTACCAATCTTTTTCCAAACTAAAAAGTCAATTTTTTATCAGCTTTCTAAAACATCCCACAATTCTAATTTATGTCATTTTTTTTCTTTTAGTCATTACATTATTTTAGTTTTTGTTTATGAATTCTTTAGTTATGTTTCATGTTATATTTGATTATGACATTTTTTTTTTTTAAGTTACGACTTAGAAAATATAAAATTATATAATTTTTTATTTAATTATAAAGTGTATGTGATACACATCTTTTGGGAAGTATGTAGCATACTATTTCCCTAAATTGAGATATAAGGACAACTTTTGTTGGAAGAACCAATCCCTTACTATTTTAACCAAACATGGGGTTGTATAATGAAAAAATCATTAGATAATGTAGAAAAAATATATATATAGTATTGACTATATGATATTGTTTACAAATGAAAAAATTTCAACACATATAAGTGAATTATTAGCTGCTAAAAAAAAAAAAAAAAAAAAAGAGGTGAGTTATTCTTTGGGAAAATTTCAAATAACTGGGAGTGTAAAAAAATATTTTCATGGGATGTAAGTCTCTCGTGCGTATGTGAGATACAAGTATTTTTTGTGTATCAAACTTCCATCAAGAAAGATTTTATCGTGAGGGTAATTTTTCTTTC